TGCCCTGCTGTGGCTTGCCCAGCTTCTCCAGAAGCCACCATCCCTTCAGGAGGCTGCTCCCAGCAAGATTGGACATCGGTGGGAGAGCCTCAAGCCTTGCAAGGATGGCACAGCAGAGAAGACCCGCCGTCCATGCAAGGAGCTCAGGCTGTCAGAGAACGTCCATGGTGCCAGGAGCCTCCACTATCTCTGACAGCCTCCATCCCTCAGAGAGGCTCAGCCAGACCTGTCAGCCTGCAGAAGGTGCAGAGCCCAGGGACAGGTCTCCCAGCTCCGTTGGACCCTTGGACTTCAACAACATGGACACATCCCTGAGCACTGACATGGCCAGGGAAAGCCCACAGGTCCAAGTGGGAGCCCAGCCTGATCCAGGGGAGCCGTCTCAGGAGCAGGTGGAGGAGCAGCAAGTGTCCTGGAGCCAGCAGCTGCCGGACCACAGCTCCCAGGTGACGGTGCTGGACGTGCCAGCTGGCAACAGCCCGTGCCTTGTGGAGGAAAAGATTCCCGGGGGACCAGGGAGTTTCCTCTTTCTCCAGGAAGCTGCTCCCATACAGCCACCAAATACCAACAAGGCTTCCGTACCAGCAGGTGAGACCTGAGGAGCTGACTGAGGCTGCCATGGGGCTCTGGAGGGGCATTCGTAGGCCAGGCCAGGGCTTCTGAGAGCAGCCTAGAAGCAGGTCAGAGCAAGGTGGCCGGCGCTGGCTGGGGCCGCTGCACATGCGGACACTCGGGGGGTTCCTGGCAGCATCAGGCCCTGTGATGGAGGCATTGTCTTCTCCTCACAGCCCAACGGCACCTGTGTTCCACAGAGATCGTGCTAATGGAGAAGGTGGGCTTTGGCTGCCGCAGAATCATCCAGCTCCTCGACTGGCTCCAGCTGCCTGACAGCTTCGTGCTGGTGATGGAGCATCCAGAGCAATCTCGGGATCTCTTGCACATCCTGCAGGAGCAAGAGTTCCTGAGCGAGGAGGCGGCACGCTGGCTTTTCTGGCAGGTGCTGGAGGCCGTGTGGCACTGCACCGCCTGCAGTGTCCTGCACCGGGACATCAAGCCAGAGAACCTCCTCATCAACCCGGAGACTGGCGAGATGAAGCTGATGGACTTCGGTTGCGGCACCTTCCTCCAGGAGCGGGCCTGCACACAGTTTGCCGGTGAGCCCAGAGCGCAGGCCCTGCTCCCAGTGCCAGGCACTGCACAGCCCCATTCCCTCCTGGGCCGCGTGGTGAGGCATTCAGCCGGCTGCTGGAGATGGTGTGTGGGTTCCTGCCCCTCGAGAACGAGCGTGACACCGTGTTGGGGCAGCTCTTCTTCCCGCAGGAGGTCTCTCCAGGTTGGTACGCGGCCTGAAGCAGGCAGGCTTTGGCAGGTGGCACCGCGCAGCCCAGCCCGGCCCTCCCGCAGCTGCGCGGGACGTCCATGTGCCCTCAAGGGCCGGCTGCAGCAGGTGGCCCGTGGCAGGCTGGGTGTGGCACGCTTGGCTGAAGGAGGGGACGCTTGTCCTGCCGTGCCGCTCTCCCGCCAAGGGCAGCTCCCAGCACACGCAGCGTGGCCCGGCTTCTGCAGGCGCCGGGAGCAGCTGGGCAGGAGCCTTCTGCAAGTGAGCGCCGCTTTCTGCCTTCTCTCCCCAGAGTGCCAACATCTGATCCGCTGGTGTTTGTCCAAGCACCCCATGGACCGGCCAGTGCTGGAGCAGATCTTCTACCACCCTTGGGTGTTGGGTGGCCATTTCTGATGCCTTGGCGCAGCCTCTGCAGCACCCAGTTCCCGTGTCCCACGCAGGACTGAGGGCCCAGGAAATAAAACAACCCAAAACCCACTGCGGGCCTGGAAGTCTTGTCCTGGTTAGCAACTTCAGCTAAGGGAACCTCTTGGCAAAAGGGGTAATCAGAGCGTTCTCTTCAGCCTTTGTCAAGATTTTGGTGCCTTTCCTCCAGGTTGTCCCTCAAAATCAGAGGGGGGTGGAGCCTGCACCAGTCCCCCCAAATCGGTGGGAGACAGAGACTTCTCCCAGGCCCCTCAAAACTGGAGGAGGATGGAGGCGATCCCCGGGCCTCCCAGTCTGAAGGGAGATAAATACCTGGCAACCCAAAATAAGTGATGGATGGAGCCCAGAGCATCCCCCAAGTCAGAGGGGGAAGGGGAGACTGCCAGCCCCCCCAAAGAGGAGGGGAATTGTGCCTGTGCCAGCCCCACAAATTGCAAGGGGACAGAGAACACCCCTGGCCTGGCAAAGGACAAAGAGCAGCTGGGGGCTGCCAGGATGGTGACAACACTGGCACCCCCCAAATCAGAGAGGGACAAAGAGCCCGCACAGGCTTCCCAGAAGCAGAAAGGGGGCATTAAATATCCCCTGTCCCCCTAAGTTGGAGGGGCACAGACACAAAAGGCCCCACAAAAAGAGCATGAGGAACCAAGAGCACTGCTGGCCCCACAAGGGTAAGGAGGATGGAGAAACTCCCCATCTGTCTTTGTTTTGGAAGACAGGTGTCTGCTAGGGAGGGCAGGGGCCTCCCCTGGAATGAAAATGTAGACCCCCTCCCTTTGAATTATTATAATTCTGAAATCAAGGGGCTTTCAGGCAGAGATCTGGGGATAGGAATAACAGTTCTTTATTAGTATTTATAACCAGGCAAACAAACAACAATAACTTCAGCATTAACAAGAAAACAGAACCAGGGGCCCCTGTTACAACCTTCTCAGCTGAGACGGGAATGGAGGAGAGGCTTTGTTTTCACAAACCCCCTCGGGCGGGCAGTCCCGGTGCTCCTGCAGGGCTCTGAGGAACACTCAGCTGGAACAGCAGGGATGAGCTGAGATCCTGGGCCGGTGGCTGAGGTGGATCAGCAGCTCTGCGGCGGTGCCTGGCACTGCCACACGTCCCGGCAGGACAGGGGGTGCGAGGCCACCAACAAAGAGGGGAGAAGGAGAAGCAGCAGCAGCTCTTTGTGGGTGATGGCAAATTCCCTTCTCCCCACCGCAGCAGCTCTGCACCCAACGTGTCCTTCTCTGAAGCTGAAGAAAGCCCACCAAACTGTCCCCACCCTCCTTTTTTCCTGCCCCCTTCCCCTCCTGGGCCTGGCCAAACTCTTTGTCTTTTGCCAAGCACCCACCAAATACCCACAGTTAGTGTCTTAATCCCTCTTAGCATAAACATTACCAATTAAATAAATGCAACTTCATGTTTAATTGCAGAAGTGGAAAAAATGTTCCAGAATTCTAAAACTACTTTGAAAACTATGTTATTAATATGGAAAAAGGGAAGAAACATTTGGGGATTACTTCCTACTAAAAATAATTCTAAATATTTCAAAAATATTCTAATTTTTAAAAATAAAAAATAAAGATAACAAGGTGGGTTCCCCAAGCCTGCTGCTGCCTGCCCAGCCAAGGCTGTGGCCAGCCAAGCAGCTGTGCCAGTGCTGCTGGTACCAGCCAGACCCCAGAGCAGAAGCCCAAAGGTGTTGCTCAAGCTCTGCCTTGGCAGGAGGGTCCTGCCTTCAGTCCTGTCCAGACACCAGGGCCAGCACTTTCAGGGACAGAGGGTCCTGGTCTGGGTGGTGGCAGCACAGCAATAAGCTGATAACTCAGCGTTGGCAAGGAAAACAGACACGGGCTTGGAGATGCAGGAAGAGAGGTGCAGTTCTCCCTGACTGAGTGTAGTGATTAACATTCACACTGTTATAAATGCATATCATATTATTGGCTTTTCTCAAATATTAAAAGGAATCTTATATGTATAAGATTAGAAAATTTTTTTGTATTAATATGGTTTCCTTTATTTCTGTTATTGATGAAACTTTGAAATAGTGGTATAATACATATATGTTAAGCTTTGGCATAGTATTAAAACAAAATCTACTTTAGTTTGTATAACCCAAAGACTGCAAAAGATAGCTGGAGATGCCCCCTACATTCAGAAACTATCTTATCCAGATGAAGACAGCAGTGACCAGAACTCTGGGGGAGGAATTTATTGCATTTCTGTTATCAGGAAATGTAAATCTCATTGGCGCCAAGAAGATTGATCTATTGGGAAGGGGGCAAGAGAAAACTAAACAGAAGAACACCAAAGATCCTAAGAAGAATGTATGAATATGCATGAGAATTTATGGATATGTAGTAGGATTCTGTTTTTAAGGGACAATCCTTTGTTAGTAAGGTGTGCTCTCTTGGCTGAATGCAGAGACACCCGGCTGTATCTATGTACTTTATTTTTAGCTCCTAGTTATCTTTTCATTAAACCTTTAAATTCTATAAGAAAAATATGTGAACCTCATTTTTCACAACACTGAGCTGTTTGGCCGGACATCTGGAGGTGCAGAGGCGCTCCTGTAGAGAAAGAAAGTGGCTGAGGCCCCCAGCTGCTGCTGGCACACAGGGACCCTCCTGCACAGCAGGGCCCAGAGCTGCCAAGGCTCCCCAGCACGGCTGGAGCTGCTGGCACAGCTTGGCCCAGCTGGACAGCTGCCCCTCAAGGCCCTGGAGAGCAGGGGATGGCTCTGGGCAGGGTCCCTGGCCAGGAGCGGGCCCCAGAGCACCTCTGCCTTTCAAGGGCAATCTCGTCCCCGCTCTTTCTCCTGCCCACCTTGCTTTGCCTCTGCCCGCTGCTCCTGGGGCTGCTCTTGGCCAGGCAGCCTCAGTGGCAGCCAGCACTGGCTGCAGCCCCAGCGGGCTCCCCAGGACAAGGCCCAGCAATTAAGAGGCCAATGGAAGCCCTGGGCAGCAGCAGAACTCTCAGCAGAGTTATTTGGACAACCAAGGACTAGCCACAAGTCCACAGCAGCTTCACTGGGAATGTTTCTATTCTACAATAACTTTCAAAAGAAGCTGTTTGAGGGAAAGATGAACGAAACACTCACTGTTTTGTCTTCCAGACATACCAGATTCCAACACAGCATAAAATGAAGACAAGCACCAAACAAAGCAGGCCTGCCATTAATTCTAGCCAACAGCGTGTTCCCTGACAGAAACCTCTTCTGATGCCCTTCTGGAAATTGGGAACACGTGTTGTGCTGGCTGCATCTGTGGGAGCAATGGGCAGCGTGAGGCCTGTGCTGTGCTCCACTGCTGAGCTGGCAGCACGGTGGGTATGTCCAGGATATTCTGTTTCCCCCAGAGCTGGGGCCTGCAGGCACCTTGCAGCCCTTGGCACAGGCTGTGCCACACAATAAAACCCAGAAAGCTGAGAGGGGGACCTAGGGACAGCGCAGCTTCTTGGGCAGTGGCTCCTTCCAGGGACACGGGCCAAACCCATCCCTGAGCAGCCACTGCCACCCCTGACCCTCCCTGCTCTGTGACAGCTCCCCCAGCCCAAGGGGACAGAGCCAGGCCCTGTCAGGGGCCAGTGCAGCCCCTGCCCAGTTGGGAGCCAGGGCTGGCTGTGGCCCTGGGCTCGCAGCAGGGCTCCTGCTCAGGGCTGCTCCTGTGCCTTGGGCCTCTGGATGCTTAGGGCCGGCTCTGGGAGCAGCTGCAGTGGGATGGACACTGGTGCACGAGTCCCATTTCCCAGGGGCTGGGAATGAGCTCCAGAGGCCTGGAAGCCGAGGCACCTCCAGCTTTGGCTGCTGCCAGGCTCTGCAAGGAGAGGCCCTGTGGGAAGAGCTGCTGGCACACAGCCCCACGGAGGGCTGAGCCCAGCACAGCAATTACCTCCTGTGCCTGGGCCCGTGCCTGCAATTGCCTCCCTTCGTTCAGGAAATGCCGCCTTCCATAGAGCCTCTCTGTCCATCCCTTGAGAAAGGAAGAGGCACAGCTGGATCAGATGGAACCATCACATAGCAGGGAAGTGGCCTCTTCAGGAGGCAGTGCTTGTCAAAGACATGGAAGAGGATCAGGAAAAGGCCCAGGCTCTCTCTTGTCCAAACCACCACCTCTCCTGATCTGCTCAGAGACCAGGAAGTTGCAGAGGATCTCAAGGTGTGCATGGGCCATGGTGCAGTTTGGGCAGCCTGTCTGCTGATGCCAAATGCCTTCCTGCAGAGGCTGGGCAGAAACTGCATCCAGGCCAGGCTGGGAAACAGCCCTGCAGGGCTTGAAAGCAGCAGCAGGGCAGTGAGGCTGCCATGGATCCCTTCCCATGGTGCAGGGCATGGCATGTCCAGAGAAAGCCCCTGACTGCAGAGTCTCAGGAAAGGCTGAGGGAAATGTACCCACCACGCCCTGTGAGCAGTTCCTTCTCTATTTCTTTCAGGATATGGTGTGACTCAAGTGGTTCTTTCTGTCCTGTGGCTCTGTTCTTCCCTCTCGGAGGACCTTAACAAAAAATAGTTCCATTTCTCAGGAATGGATCCCAGAAAAGCAATGCTCAGCCTGTGGGTACGGCAGGGACACACCACTCACCCCTGCGATGGGAGCCGGGCTTGCGGGCAGTGATCAGCAAAGGAGCTGGGAAAGTCCTCCCTGCAGACACACCTGTAACTCAACAGCCACAGAAGCTTCTGTCACCTGGTTCCTACCAGGTTGTCAATGATTATTCCTCGATGGGACACTGAGAACATACCTGCAGGAGGCTCCAAGGGCTTCAAAACTTTATGCAGCCAATCTAATGGAGAAACCTTCCTAGGAATCTCATCTGGAAGGGAACAGAGATGAGAACCTTTTTCGGGGTGTGCTGGGATCGCCTTCAGCCTTAGGGAACTGGGCACTGCCAGGGGGTTGGGTAAGACCATGGGAGCCAGATGTCAGTGGACATGGAGGAAGCTGTAGAGGGGCCTGAAATGCTCTGGGCTGGCTCCTGGTCACTCTCAACACTCTTTCCATGCCCTGTGCAACATCCCTGAAGGGTGGGCACTCCCCAGCAGCAGAGATGTACAGCTCAAGCCTCAGCAGGGCTCAGGCCCAGAGGCACAGCAATTACCTCCTGGGACTGT